CTTTGCCATTTTGTAATCTATTCCTCTCTCCCCTGTTTGTCTCCAAGGAAACATTTTGCTGCCTATTAGTGTAGATGAGCTTGCTTTTTCTAGGATTTTATATAAATGAGGACATAACAGTACATACTCTTTTTGGCAGTTGGTGGGGAGAGGTCTGGGTTCTTCCAGCACATTTTGAGATTCATTCAATTCATAGACCATATAATTCACTTTTTTACAGTGTAGAATTCAGTAACTTTTAATATATTCATATATTTATACAGCCATTACCACGATCTAATTCCTGAACATTTTCATCACCTCGGAAAGAATCCCTGTACTAATTGGCAGTCACTTCTCATTTCCCTTACACCACAGTCCCTGGAAACCACTAACTGTCCGAGTTGTCTTTTTCTTTTTGAGTTGTAAGATCCCTTTATACATGTTAGATATGAGACCCTTGTCAGATACATACTTTGGAAATGTTTTCTTCCATTCTGTGATTTGTCTTTTTACTTTCTTGATGGTGTTCTTTGAAGCCCAGAAGTTCTTAATTTTGATGAGGTCAAATTTATCTACTTTTTTTCTTTTGTAACTTGTGTTTTTGGTGTTGTATCTAAGAAGGCTCTGCCTAATCCAAAGTGATGAAGGCTTACACCTATGTTTTCTTCTAAGAGTTTTAACAGTTTTAGATCTTATATTTAGGTTTACAATCCATTTGCAGTTAAAATTTGTATACAATTCAAGGAAGGGGTCTGACATTATTTTGCATTTAGATATCTAGTGGTACTAGCACCATTTGTTGAATATATAATTTTCCCTTATAGAATTGTCTTGGCACCCCTGTTGAAAATCAGTTGACCATAAATATGAGAGTTTGTTTCTGGACCCTCTATTCTATTTCTTTGATCTGTGTATCTGTTCCCATACCAGTAATACGCTGTCTTGATTACTGTAGCTTTGTAGTAAGTTGAAATTTGGAAGTGTGAATCTTTGTCAAGATTATTTTGGCTATTTGGGCTCCTTATCGTTTTCATGTGTTTGGGCTGAACTTGACAGTTTTTGCGAAGCAATTCACTAGGATTTTGATCTGTAGGTTGTTTTGGAAAATATCGACATCTTAGCAATATTAAGTGTTTAGATCCATGAACATGAGATGTGTTTTCATTTATTTTAGTTGTTCTCTAATTTCTTATAACAATGTTTGTAATTTCTATTGTACAAGTTTTGCATGTCTTTTGTTAATTAGGTATTATTTTTTGATACTATTATGTATTGTTTTCGTAATTCCATTTTTTGGATTGTTCATTGTTAACATATAGAAATACAAATGATTTTTATGTATCGATCTTGTATCCTGAAACCTTGCTGAACTTCTTTATTTGTTTTAATAGTTTTTTTTTTTTTTTTTTAGTGTATTCCTTAAGATTTTCTGTATGTAAGATCATGTTACCTGCAAATAGAGACAGTTTTACATCTAGCTTCCTGATCTTTTTTCTTGCCTAATTATTCTGGCTAGATCCTCTAGTACAATGTGGAATGCAAGTGGTGAGAGTAGATATCCTTGTCATATTGCAGATCTTAAGAGGAAATATCTGCTGGTTCACTATTTTCATGTTAACTGTGGGGTTTTTTTTTTTTTCCTTTTTGGTAGATGCCCTGTATTAGGTTGAGGAAGTTGAGTATTTTTATTGTGAAAGATTGGGTTTCATCAAATGCTTTTTCTCCAGCTATTGAGATGATCACGTAACTTTTGTTTTATTTACATTTAGATGAGCTCTTTCATTCTTGATTTTGAAGTAAGTCTCATGTATTACAGTGGTTAAAGACAGACATTAGTGGTCGTCTGCATTTGTATAAATGGCAGAAGTCTTTTGGGTGAATAAAAATACTCAGAGCACATAGAAAAGAGAAGGCCAAAGATGAAATTTTGAGGAATATAAACAATCTAACATATGCTCTAAGTTAAATTTAGTCTGAGCTAGTAAATTTAATGAAAACGTTACCTAAGGCAGCAGGTTTTAGTTTTTGCTTTACTAGGTAAATTTACAGCTTTTGGTATGTCTTAAAAGTCTTTGATAATATGGAAAGTTTTTCTGCCCTTTATTTGATTGCATTTGTATGAGTCAGACTCTGGAGAACAGAAGTATTTATATAAAGTGTAGGCAAAGGAAGAGAACCAGCATGATTTTCTGATTATCTGAAAGGAACATGTACGTGGCAAATAAATAGTGGAAGAACTTTAAACTTTGTGAACACACTGCTTGTTCCATAAATTGGCCATTTTAACACTAGTCTGAGATACTGGAATTTCCCTTTTATCTACTCAAAGGAATGTTTCTGTGAAAATAGTAACAAAATCAATTTATGAGAAACTTTCTTCATTAAGTAGTATTCTTTTGTAAGGAGCTTGAAGCATGCAGAGTAGTGAACAACCATAGATCCTCAGACTTTGTATTGAGAACTAGAACTAGACTGTGCTTTCCCTTCTCATGCATTTTTGCTTTGTACTTCAAACTTGACTACTACTACTTCATGTCTATTGATTTCATGATCACTGCTATTCTTACTATGAAAAACCCTCAATTTCAGGGCCGGCCGCCATGGCTCACACCTGTAATCCCAGCACTTTGGGAGGCCAAGGTGGGCGGGTCACGAGGTTAGGAGTTTGAGACCAGCCTGACCAACATGGTGAAACCCTGTCTCTTCCAAAAAAAAAAAAAAAATACAAAAATTAGCTGGCAGTGGTGGCACGGACCTATAATCCCAGCTACTCAGGAGCCTGAGGCAGGAGAATCACTTGAACCCAGGAGGTAGAGGTTGCGTTGAGCTGGGATCACGCCACTGCATTCCAGCCTGGCGACAGAGTGAGACTCTTGTCAAAAAAGAAAAGAAAAGAAAAACCCTCAATTTCAAGACATTGAAAATATAATGGTTGCATTAGCTTGTTGATCAGGGTGTTACCAGAAAGAGGTCCAAGAGAGGGTTCTTGGATCTTGCACAAGAGAGAGTTCAGGGCGAGTCCATAGAGTAAAGTGAAAGCAAGTTTATGAAGAAAGTAAAGGAATAAAAGAAGGGCTACTTTGGGGTAAGAGCAGCCCCAAGGGCTGCTGGTTGCCCATTTTTATGATTATTTCTTGATGATACACTTAACAAGGGGTATATTATTCATGCCTCCCCTTTTAGACCATATTTGGGTACTTATGTTGCCATAGCATTTGTAAACCGTCATGGTGCTAATGGGAGTGTAGCACTGAGGAAGACCAGAGGTCACTCTTATTGCCATCCTGGTTTTGGTGGGTTTTGGCCAGCTTCTTTCTTTTCTGCAAGCTGTTTTATCAGCAAGGTCTTTTATGACCTGTATCTTGTGCTGACCTCCTATCTCATCCTGTGACTTAGAATGCCTTAACTGTCTGGGAATGCAAACCAGTAGGTCTCAGCCTCATTTTACCCATCTCCTTTTAAGGTAGAGTTGTGCTGGTCCAAACGCCTCTGACAAGATTACTTCTTAGGTTCCTGCAAGAAATTTGACCCTTAGAAATGGCCTAACTAAATGTCAGCAATTAAGATCTAACTATATTGGCAGGTGTATGGCTTATACCAGCACTTTGGGAGGCTGAGACGGGGCAGATCACCTGAGGTCAGGAGTTCAAGACCAGCCTGGTCAACATGATGAAATGAAACCCCGTCTCTACTAAAAATATAGCCGGGTATAGTGCTGGTCGCCTGTAATCCCAGCTGCTTGGGAGGCTGAATAGGAGAATCACTTGAACTGAGGAGGCAGAGGTTGCAGTGAGATGAGATCATGCCATTGTCCTCCAGCCCGGGCAATGAGTGAAATTCAGGCTCAAAAAAAGCAAAAGTGCCAAAAAAAAAAAAAAAAAAAAAAAAAATCTAAGGATATTGCCATATTCATTACTGATTCTAAATTTAAATTAGTTGATAGTCTCAGAGATTGTTCCAGAAAGTTATGGAAGTTCTCCAATTCAGTCATAAATAGTTCAAATTACTTGCTTGAACTGAAAAAAAGTTGTTATATTGATCAACTTATTAAATGATATGATTGGTAAGACAAATTTTTGAAATGTTATCTGACATTTTGTTTCTTGTTTGAAGTGCATTATTAGAGTTACCCAAAATCATATGAATAATCTGAGAATAATATTTGAGGCAAAAATGATAGAATAATGACATTTAACTATGAATTCTAACATTAACAGTAAATATGACACACCACCATGCTCCCTGAACTTGTAAACTATCTTGATATATTAAAGGAGTTAGTACATCTATCGGGTTAGTCAAAACCCATACAGCATGGTTCTTAAAAGACGAATCAACATAGCTGTATAATAAGGAGAGAGATACATAGATACTACAAATTATTTTGCCTGTTTAACCTTAAACATACAAAATATATTTAGCATTATATCTGTAGGAAATTATATCCATGTCTAAGACAAATATTTCCAATTCATTCCAATCTATAGTCCTCAAAAATTTGGAGAACTAATTCGTTTCTTTACTGTCATGAAGTAGATAAAAATGAAATGGTATTCATTAGGAAAAATGCAGAGGGAAAAGATGTTTAAAAAAAAAAATAAAATATAGGTCAGAGACATCCTCAAAGAAAAAAGGACATTTAAGTACTAAGGTTATAGTATAGTCATCAGGTTCTCTTCAAATTTGAAATTTTAATAGTTGATGAGTTTTAAAGTTGCATAAGTCTATAGACAGTGATGGTATATCTAATACATATAGCGAAGTATATATTTTCAAAAATGGTACTGAGCTATTTGTCCTATATTTGATGATACTATTGGCAAACATAAAATACATGGCTTCTCTCATCACATGTATACATTATAATGTCTAATAGCTGGAAAACGCTTTATAACATTTATATATTTAACATTTTTTGATATAGGAATAAACATAGAAAGACTGTTAAGTTACGTCACTAAATGTATATGTATTTTTTAATGTGTGCAGTTATTGGGTTTCTGTTCTTATTACTGCAGGAAGCATATGTGCCTCTTTTCTTACCCAAAGTTACCAACTGCCAGTTCTTGATACAATGTTTCTAAGGAAGAAATACAGAGGTAAAGATTTTGGGCTTCACATGCTGGAGGACTTTGTTGATTCCTTTACAGAAGAGGCACTTGGCGTACGGTATCCACTGTCTTCTCTCATGTACACAGGTAAATGGACTAAGTTAAAAAATGATAAACTTGTCTCTGTGTCACTTGTGACTTGTTTCTCCAGAATACTATACGTGTGTATATATCAGTATCACAAAGATTTGGAATCTCGGGCTCTCTAGAACCAAGTTTTGCAAATAAGCCCTTCCGTATTTGTTTTCTGGGGGTTTGGTAGTCTTAGAAAAAACTTTAATTAATACCGTAAAATTGCCGGGCACAGTGGCTTAGGCCTGTAATCCCAGGACTTTGGGAAGCCAAGGTGGGCAGATCTCCCGAGGTCCGAAGTTCAATACCAGCCTGGCCAACATGGTGAAACTCTGTCTCTATTAAAAATAAAAAATTAGCCGGGCATGTGGCGCATGCCTCTAATCCCCGCTACTTGGGAGGCTGAGCCAAGAGAATTGCTTGAACCCGGGAGGCGGAGTTTGCAGTGAGAGAACATCATGCCACTGCACTCCAGCCTGGGTGACAGAGTGAGACGGAGACTCCATCTCAAAAACGAAACAAAACAAAACCAACATCTACCATAATATTTGCCCTGTTAAAAGTATACAACTCAGTGGTTTTTAGTATATTTATAGTGGTTCAATAAAAACCAGCAATTCCAGAACATTCTCATTACCCCAAAAAGAAACCCTTTACCAATTAGCAGTCACTGTCCATTTCCCCTTTCTCCATCTGTAGCAAACCACTAATCTATCTTCTGTCACTGTGAATTTACTCATTCTGGACATTTCATATAAATGGAATCATACAGCATGTGGCCTTTTGTGTCTGGCTTCTTTCACTTAGCATGTTTTCAAGTTTCATTCATGTTATAGCATAAATTGGTACTTCATTTCTTTTTATGACCGAGTAATATTCCATTGTATGGCTGTACCACAACTTGTTCTAAAGTGATGTTCCATTTTACATTCCCATAAGCAATATTATATGAAGGTTATAATTTTTCCACATCTTCATCCTCAGCAACATTTGTTATTATCTGTATATTTTACTACAGCCATCCACATCCTCACCATTTGTTATTATTTATATATTTTATTACAGGCATCCTAGTGGATATATAGGGGCATCTCATAGTTTTGCTTTGCTTTGATGTTGAACGTCTTTTCATGTACTTATTGGTCATTTGTATACCTTCTTTGGAGAAATGTCTATTTAAATAATTTGACCATTTTGGGGGGGGTACTAATTTGTTTATGGTAGCTTTTAAAATTAACAATAAATTTCAAACATACAAAAAGGTACAAAGAAGCTGGGAATGATGGGATATGCCTGTTATCTCAGTTACTCCAAAGGCTGAGGTCGGAGGGTTGCCTGAGTCCAGGAGTTTGAGACCAGCCTGGGCAACATAGTGAGACCTCATTTAAATTAAAAAAAAGTTTAAAGAGTAAGGTGTTGGCTGGGCATGGTGGCTCATGCCTTTAATGCTAGCACTTTAGGAGCCCGAGGTGGGCAGATCGCTTGAGTTCAGGAATTCAAGACCAGCTTGGGCAACATGATAAAATCCTACCCTACAAAAATTACAAAAAATTAGCTGGGTGTGGTAGCTTGTGCCTATAGTCCTTGATACTTGAGGGGCTGACGTGGGAGAATTGCTTGAGCCCAGGAGGTTGAAGCTGCAGTGAGCTAAGATAACACCACTGCACCCCAGCCTGGGTAACAAATTGAGAGCTTATCTCAAAAAAATGAATAAATGAATAAATAAATAAAAAGAAATAAAAAGAAGGTATCAAATACTCATGTACCGTGTCAGCACGTACCATCCATGAGAAATGGCTTGCTGCCAGAGTGGTGGAAGCCTTCTGTGTACTTTTACCCAATTAGACTCACTCCCTTCTCTGGGATGAGTACTGTACCTAACTTGGCACTTATTTTTCTCACACATTTCTTAGGCTTTAATACATATGTGTATGTTCTCAAACAATATATCATGTTGTTTTACATATTCAAAAACTATAAATATGTACTGTATGAATTCTTCTGCAGTTTACTTTCTTTACTCATCTTTATATTTGTGAGATTCATCCATGTGGGTTTGTATAGTTCCATTTATTTTCAATGCCGTGTTCCATTTTATGGACATTCCACTTGGTGTGATTTAAAACCATTAGTGTGTTTGGTTTTGAATTTGTGTAAAGGTCATATAACTTCTCAATGAAGTAAGATTTAATCCTACATAGTAATTAACCTAGAAACTTTATGAAGTATCATTTACTATTGATTTCAGCCTAACAGCAGTTATTTATTTCCACTGAAAATATATTTTTATTCTAAATCTTCCTCACCTTCTTTAATATCAGAAGCAATCCAGAAAATAGGAACCAAGTAGAGAATTGGATGCCCACCTTGAATCATATTTTCTCTCTATACCCATACATGAGAGTGGGATGGGCATTATGTGCCCTTGGTTAGTCCTAAAATGCTTTACTCTAGGTACTGCTTTACCGAATTTGGGGAGAGATACAAAGACATCCACTGCAGGCAGAATCCCCTAATACTTACTCTCTTCTGTGATTCTAGTGATAAATAAATTGAATATCAAATGAATTACAGATGATCATCAGCTAATTTCTATCTTTGCATAAAGCCTTAGCACTTTGTGAGGCCAAGGTGGGCAGATCACTTCAGGCCAGGAGTTCAAGACCAGCCTGGCCAACATGGTGAAATCCAATCTGTATTAAAAATACAAAAATTAGCTAGACATGGTGGCACATGCCTGCCATCCCAGCTACTCAGAAGGCTAAGTCATGAGATTTGCTTGAGCCTGGGAGGCAGAGTTTGCAGTGAGCCTAGATCAGGCCACTCCACTCCAGCCTGGGTGACAGAGCATGTCTCAAAAAAAAAAAAAAAAAAAACACACAACTTGGCAGGCCTAGTAGTATGCGCCTGTAGTTTCAGTTACTTAGGAGGCTGAGGCAGGAGGATCACTTGAGTACAGGAGTTCAAGGCTGCAGTGAGCCACTGCACTCCAGACTCAGGGAAAGAGTGAGATCCTGTTTCAAAAAAAAAAAAAAAAAAGAAGGCAAGTATCTATTAAGTTATAATTTATTATATACAATAACATACACCAATTTTAAGAGTACATTTTAATGACTTCTGACAATTCCAAGAGTTCCCTTTGTGCACCAGTCCTCCAGCTTCCTTCCCCTCCAAACTCACTCTAGGCAAGCACTGATATGCTTTCTGTCAGTACCAATTAGATTTTTCTAGAGTTTCATGAATAATGGAAATATATGGTTGTGTGTACTTCTATGTCTGGCATCTTATTTTTGAGGCTCATTGATGTTGCATGTCTCAATACTTCCTTCCTTTTTTTTTATTTTGCTGAGTATTTCTCTCTCTCTTTTTTTGAAATGGAGTTTCGCTCTTGTTGCACAGGTTGGAGCGCAATGGTGTGATCTTGGCTCACCACAACCTTTGCCTCCTGGGTTCAAACGATTCTCCTGCCTCAGCTTCCTGAGTAGCTGTGATTACAGGCATGCACCACCATGCCCGGCTAATTTTGTAATTTTAGTAGAGACAGGGTTTCTCCGTGTTGGTCAGGCTGGTCTGGAACTCCCAATCTCAGGTGGTCTGCCTGCCTTGGCCTCCCAAAGTGCTGGGGTTACAGGCGTTAGCCACCACATCTGGCCTAGATCAGGCCAGATTGCTGAGTATTTCTCACTTTGGTGATACCACGGTTTATTTATTTGCCTATTGATAGACATTTGATTTCTTTTCTTTCTTGGCTATTATGAATAAAGGTGTGTGAAAATGTCTTTGTATGGACATTTGTTTTCATTTTCTTGGAGCAAATACCTAGGAGTGTCATTACTGGTTTTTATGATTGTGTTTAACTTTAGGAAGTTGCCAAATTAGTTTCTAATAAAGTAGTTATGTCATTTTGCATTCCCGTTAGTAATGTGTGGAAGTTCTGGTTGCTCTACATACTCATTAATACTTGGTTTTGTTAATTTCTTTAATTTCAGCCTTTTCTAGTAGTAAGGCTATCTCACTTATTATGTGGATAATGCTATCTCACTTATTATGTGGTTTCAGTTTGCATTTTCCTGAAGACTAAAGATTTTGAGTATCTCTTCATGTAATTATTGGGTAATCATACGCCCTAAAAAAGGGTAGAAAAAGTGAGGTGTTTGTTCCTATCTTTTGCTTATGTTTGTATTGAATTGCTTGTCTTCTTATTGAGTTACAAGTTATTTATGTGTCTTGGATATTAGTTCTTTGTGTATATTGTTAATTCTTTCTCATGGCCTTTTCCTTTTCTTAATCTATATGCATTTATTTCAAGTAAGTTTTGATATTATTTAGTTTAAATCTCCCATCCTACTATTCTTTATTTGTCCCATTTGTTTTTTCTCCTTTTTTCTTTCCTTTTGGAAGTAGTTATCATTGTTCTATTTTATCTCAACAGTTGGTTTATTAGCCATGCCTTTTTGTTTTGTTTTGTGCGTGTTGTGTTGGTTTTCTCCAGCTTCTTCCATCCTTTTAGTTTTGGAAACTAAACCCAGAACATATGAAAAATATTTTCAAAGATACAGGGAAAAAATGGATAGACTAGTATCCTAATTTCTGTACCAAGTCTAGATTGAACAGATGTTAAGATTTTGCAATTTTTATTTTAGTTTAAGAGAGAACTAAATACAATGTTTATTGATTGTAATAAAAGATACAGTCGATGTTCTCTTTGAATCCTTCTGTAATACATTCTCCTTTCTCCTTTCCTCCCCAGAGATAATTGCACTCCTGAAGTTGGTGTTTATTTTCCTGTTTACGGTTTCATATTTATGTCTGTAAACATTATAAAATATTATTTAGTGTGTTTTCTTATTTTTTAAACAGCTTTTTGTTGTGGTAAAAAATTGTATATAATACCTTATTTGTAGGTGAACACTTCAGTGGCTCTTGCACACTCTTTTCTGCTTTCTGTCCCTATGAATTTGCCCATGCTAGGTACCTTATCTAAATGGAATCATAGAATATTTGTCTTTATGTGTCTGGCTTACGTGACTAAATATAATGGTTTTGAGGTCCATGATGTAGTCCATTCCTTTTTATGGCTGGATAGTTTCCCTTTGTATGAATATACCGTATTTTGTTTGGCCATTCATCTATTGATGGACACTTGGGTTGTTTCTACCTTTTGGCCATTGTGAATAATGCTTCATTGAACGTTGGTGTGCAGATATCTGTTTGAGTCTCTGCTTTCATGTCTTTTGAATATATACCTGAGGTGAAATTGGTGGGTTATATGGTAATTTTGTGTTTCACTTTTTGAGGAACTGTTTTCCATTGTGGCTGTACCACTTTGTTGAATAAGTTTTTAAGCTTTACATAAATGGTGGCATTTTGTTCATTTATTGGCCCAATTTTTACTGAGCATTTTTAAAAGAGTTATCAATGTTGATTTAGGTAGCCATAACTCATTTATTTTAAACACTGTATAGTAATTTTATTATATACATATTACAGTTTATTCATATATTTCCTTACTGTTGAGCACTTAGGTTAGGTCCCCATTAAAAATAGTCCTGTAATGAATATTATAAAAGTTTTCTGCATATGTACAGCTGGCCCTCCACTTACGATGGTTTAACTTTTGATTTTATGATGGTACAAAAGTGATATTTAGTAGAAACAGTCATTTGAATTTTGATCTTTTCCTATGCTAATGATATGATACTCTCTCATGAAGCTGGGCAGTGGCTGCCAGTCAGTTCCCAGTCAGCCAGGCGATCACAGGGGCAACCAACCAGTACTCTACAGAGTACTGTATTCAATAAAGTATATGAAATATTCAACAATTTATCATAAAATAGATTGTGTGTTGGATGGTTTTGCCCAACTGTAGGTTGTAGGCTGTGTTCTGAACTGTAAGTGTTCAGAACACATTTAAGGTAAGTGAGGCTAAGCTATGATGGTTGGTAGCTTAGGTGTCGTGAATACATTTTTGACTTAATGGTGTTTTCAATTTATGATGGGTTTAACAGAATGTAACCCCATTGTAAGTCAAGGAATATCTGTATAAGGTATTAGGGTTTATACCTCAAAGTAGAATTGGATCATAAAATGTGTCTCTTCAACTTTGTGTTGCAAAATTATTCTCCCACCAGCAGAGTGTGTGTTTCCATTTCCCTTATTCTTCTTGGTGCTTGTCATTATCCCACAGGTGTGAAAATCTTATCTTCTTGTTTTATCTTACCTTTCTTTGGCAGCTAGTGGGGTTTATCATCTCTTTGTTTGTTTATTGACCACTCAGATTTCATAAGGTGTAAATTTCCTGTTCATAGTCTCTGCCAATTTTTCTTTGGATAACCTTGTCTTTTGAATTCCATTGTAGAAATTCTTTATATTTTTTGAGTACTAATCCTTTGTTTTACTCTAAATGTCTCCTAATCTGTGTCTTTCTGGGATCATTTTCATGTAGAGGGGTGCAGTTCAATACAGTAGTCACTAATTTAAATATAAGTTAGAGCTAATTAATATTAAATAAAAATATAAGTTCATTTCCTAAGTAGCCACATGTGGCTAGTGGCTGTTGTATTGGACAGTGCTGATGATAGGACACATCTGTGTCCCAGAAAGTTCTGTTGCACAGTCCTGATATATACTAGGTTTTAAATCTTAATAGATCATAATTTTTCATCATGGACTGTGATTTTTGTGCCTTTTGTAAGGAATCCATCTGAACCCTATTCTCCTATGTTTTCTTTTAAACATTTTGGTCTTAGAATTTGTTCAGAGTTTATGTTGATGTGAGGTCAGGATCTGACTTTATTGGTTTTTTTTTTTAAAATAAGGATTTTTATTTTAGCACCATTATTTTAGTAGTTTATCCATTATTTGCTGAAATATAATGCCGTTTCCATCATTTGGCAAGTTGTAGTTTATATGTGGTTCTTTCCTAGTGGAGTTTCTTTGTTATTTATTTGTGGGTTTTTTGTTTGTTTTTTGGTATTTTTCTTCTCCTTCCTCCCACCCCACAGCCTGTTTATATATCTTTATGTCAGTACTAGGTTGTTTCAGTTACTGTGGTTTTATAATGATTCTTGGTATTTACTTGGACAAGTCTCTATCCTTATTTTTCTTCTTCAAAATTGACCTGAATATTGTTTCTTTTTTTTTTTTTTGTAGTTTTAAAACTGATGTATAATAGTTGTACTTACTGAATATTTTCTTACCCTTTATTCTTTAATTTTGGAATTTGGGATCAAGTTTTATTAAAAAATAAGTTATGTTGGGATTTGTTTGCAATTGCATGGAATTTATAGATCAATTTGGTGAGAACTGGTATTTTTACACTATTGAGTCTGACAGTCTTTTTATTCAGTTCTGTGTTGGACACCTCAGTAACATTTAATCATTTTTTTTCTTTAAAAACGAAGTACATTTTTAAAGGATATTTATTGTTTGGTCAAGGTAAAACTTGCATTTGGGATTTTATTTAGAATTTTTATTTATAAATGAGACTACTGTATACTTGAGTTGTGTTGGTGGTGTTTTGGTATCAAGGTCATGTTAGCCCCATTAAGTGAGTTAGGAAGCTTTCCATCTTCTGATTTTCAAAACAGTGGATATTTGAGATTTCTAGAAAATTCTAAATGTGTTTTTCAGCTTGCAAGCAGTACTTTGAGAAGTATCCAGGAGATCATGAACTCCTTTGGGAAGTTGAAGGTGTTGGACACTGGTACCAGCGAATACCAGTCACCAGAGCATTACAGAGAGAAACGCTTAAAATACCAGGTAGGAGTGTTTTCAGTTTGAACATAAGTTCAGTTTACTTATCCTTGCTGGCACACAAGTCCAGTTTAAAAAGCAGTGGCTAATAGTGGTTATGTCTTAGAGTCCAGAGTAGTGGTGTATTGTAATGTGATAATTCTAGTAACAGAATCTCTTGTCTGAAGTTTGAATTTTTGTGATTATATAACGTTTGAGTCCCTAGTAATAACGAGACCTATAACAGCTCAGTAGGAATTGGTGGGTAAGAAATAAACATAGATTACTGAAATGGCATAGAATAGGCACCAGTGGGGTCCAGAGTACCCACTAATCTCATATACGTCTCTCCAAAGCCCCTAAATACTTAAAATAACTATTTACCATTGTATATAATGGCAATGTTGCATTATAAGATACTGGTGAAGAGAACATCTCACACCTAGATTTTCATGACCCTTCTGTCTAGGCTGCTCTTCAGGGCTTTTAGGAAAGTCAGTACAATGTTACAGTTAAAACCAAATACTGGTTGGGTTACAATTTTTAAAATTCTTCTATACACAGCAGTTTCTCAAAATGAACCTAAAAGACCTATGTCTGGAGAATATGGTCCTGCATCTGTTCCAGAATATGAAGCAGGAACTGAAGACAATCAGTCTAGTGAGATGCAGCTAACTGTAGGTACACTGTATGTTTACTGTAGGAAATAATTTTTGTGTTTTTAAAATATAGATTCAGCTTATATTTGAGTTTTAAATGTTATAGTTCAAAAAAACCTATGTAATTTCTACTGTGTTAGTTTTCCTGGCATCTTCTGTTAATATTACTAAGGACTTTAATTTTCTTTGAAAAATAATTTTAATGATGTTAAAAGTATGAGCTAATTAAAGGTAATTTAGAATGAACATAAAATAATATAGAAGAAAATAAAAATATATAATTCCACTATTCAGATATAGCCACTGTTAAACATTTTTGCATATTTATTTAATATTGTATATTACAAAGCATGTATCTGTATATATTATATTTTTATTCTCTTAGATTGCTTCTAACTGCCTTCCTCCAGTAATGTAATATTGGAAGCATTTTCTGTGGCATTAAATCATTAAAACATGATTGTTAAATAGCAGCACACTATTCTATTATGTTTTAATTAAATACCATTATTTGTTTCTTTAACATAGAATCCTTAAATTTTTAACATTTTTAAATGGCCCAGGAGCAAACACATTTATATGTGAATCCTTGTGCATATGTAATTACTTCTCTGAACATAAAAATTTCCAGAAGTGGAGTAAGTAGGTGAAAGATGATGGAGTTGTTACATAACGTTTGAGGCTGTGTATGCTAGGTCTTTGTAGAATGTAATGCACTTTGCAAATACTAAGTATCCTGAAAGTAGAAGGAAAAGTCCCATTACCAAACTTCACAGGACTTACTAGGTCCTTTTCTAGAACCGATGTTTTGTGGTACTTGGTATTGCTTAAAATACAGGCCCATTGATGGGACTCTAGAAGTCTAGGGTTTTGGGGGATGGCATTTATTACAGTCACATTTTTGTATGTGTGTATCTAAGTTTATTTTTAGTGAGTGTTGAATATGCCTATGTAAATACATAGGCATATTGTATAAACAGCTGCTTTAGGGAATTATTTGTGCTTATTTTCTGTCTTAGTTAGAATGAGAGTTGACTCTATTTGAGTAGAAAATTTGTAACCATTGTTAAGAATAACAAATAATATAACTATACATAAGGAGTTGGGTTTTTGTTTTTTTCCCCCTACATTTGGAAATTCAAACTTGAGAATAAGCTCCTGTTCTATTCAGTCTAAATTTCTCAGATATACACAGATTCATTTAGTATTGGCCAGTTGTCATAAAATCAAGGAAAGTAGAAAATCTGTTCTTCTATAAATGTAATGAGAGCAATGATTTACTTTACACTAATCCAAATAATTTTAGATTTGTTATTTGAGTGAGAATATATTAACAGTGGTACAACATCACAGTTGATAGCATAAATTTGGTTTTAGAATGTAACCTAATTAAGATTTTAGAAATTCTATTCTTCATAGTACTTTAATGTTTTTAAATAGTTGAAGGAAAATGTTTATCGTATTAAACTACTTGTATTAAATCCCTTTTTATCAGTAACCATGAACAGTTTTGTTTATTTTAATTACATGATTTATTCTTTAGGTAATGATGGTATTATTACCTATTTTTTCCTTTTTTGTATTTTTTGTAGAGACAAGGGTTCACTATGTTGGCCTGGCTGGTCTTGAACTCCTGACCTCATGGTTCACCTGCCTCAGCCTCCCAAAGTGTTGAGATCATAGGCGTGAGCCACTGCACCCAGCTGTATTTTTTCCTATTTTTATACATAAAACATTAACATATATTTCTCTTACGATACTTTTTGTGCCTTTTATTTATCCATCTTTACATTTTAACCTTTTGTTGGACTGTAATTTTCTTGAAGCAACATTTTTGTCACATCATTTGTCACAATTGCTCCTTTGCTTTTGTTCTATAAATTGAAGGCTGTGTGTCTACTATATTGTGGCATTTTAGTAAGCATGTAATGGATGAATAAAGTAGTTACTGTGGCAAGCACTGGACATAGAAAGATATGGTTCTTAGACATTGGAGAACTAGATGATCCTTTGTTGGAAATACAGAATTAAATACTATAGCATAAAAATTATTATAGCAAGTGATTGGAGGTACATAGGAGAGGTTGACTTTTAAAGGTGGGTGGGAGTTCTGTGACATGGGTTGTTAGGGCATTCCAGAGGATACCATGTAAAAAAAATTACAGAAATGTGAAAGAAAATGGCGTGTTTGACATGACAGAGGTACTTGGTATTTTGCATATGTTGAGAATTTGTATTCTAAGCAGTGGTTGGCTATTAAAGGTTTCTTTTTTCCTTTTTTTTTAAGCAAAGAAATGGTATAATTTGTGATTTGAAAGTATCACTTTGTCATTAGTGTGGAGGGGTTTAGATGGGATGTGATTAGAGCAAGGGATACTAGTGAGGAGGCTGTTGGAATAGTTGAGGTTCAAGAGAGTAAAGGCATAAACTAAAGCAATGTTAATACAAAGGATAGGGCAGTTTTGAGAGGTTCTTCAATTAAAATGGAAGGACTTTGTGATTGATTAAATGTGGGATAGGAAGAAGTCATTACTGCCTCACTGTTTTCTGGTTAGAATGACTGAATTGTCATTAAGCAATATGGGGAATAATATTGGGGAAAGATAAAGTTCATTTTAGGAATGATTGAGTGTGAAATTGGATGGGACATCCACTGGGAGATATTTCATTGAAAATAGAACTTTGGAAATCAGGAAGAAAGTTTGGAGGCTTACATTGCATATTTGAATTCATTGGTAAGCAGATGCTGAAGTAGGATAGTGAAGGGAAAGCATGTGGACTGAGCAGAGAAGGTGGCTGAGGACAGAACTAGGAGAACAGTGGACACACTATGACATATTAGATGACTTGCATATGTTCTCAGTCTTATAAATTGAAGCTGAACTATAACCTTTTTCTTTTTAAAGTAAATGTTCTTAAAAAGTGCTATTTGAAAAACATTTTACAATTTTTTTTTTGAAACTATAAATGAAATAGATCCTTAGGAAGAAAAAATAGTCTAAAACTTTAGGTTTAAATCTGTCTCTTTTTTAGATGGATTCTTTAAAAGATGCCTTTGCAAGCACTTCTGAAGGTAAGAAATTCAACTGATATGTCCGTATTTGAGACTTCAAATTAGAGCTGTGTGCGTGAGCATGCATGCATGCATGTGTGTGTGGTGTCTCACCCTGAGTAAGTGAAAACGTTTTCAGCTCTAGAATCCAGATATGGGCTCTCATGCCACCACTGTCACTGATTTTGCTATGTGAACACTGAGTAAGCTATTGTACCTCTCTCTTCCTCTTTTCCTTAGCTATAAAATAGGGATGGTAATGTCTGTGTTGTTTATTTTCCAAGATTATTGGGAGAGAATGTAAGTGAAATGCAAAAACACTTTGCAAAGCCCAAGATAACATGGAAATGTGAGGAATGAATTATACAATTCATATAACTTGACAAAGTTATTATATATTTTAGAAAAAGACGTAAATTGTAAAATTTTTTAGCCTGACTTAAGTCAGGGGAGGGCAAACCTGTGTAATGTGGGGGATATGTGTAAACTAGTGTAGTTCTTGCATTTCTGTGTATTTTAATAGGTAGTCCTTTTAATATGTAATCAACTAAGTGCAGTTTTGCTATTTTCCTCCTCAGGTCATGATAAAACATTTGTTTCCACTCGTACTCGAAGTAGTAATCTAAAGCGGCCGAAGATTGGAAAGCGGTTTCAGGATTCTGAATTTAGCAGTTCTCAAGGTGAAGATGAAAAGACTTCCCAGACTTCACCTACAGCTTCAATAAACAAGTAAAGAATTGTGTATTTTACTCCCATTTTTTGTTTATTTGTACTTTCATATTAGTATTTAACATTTAAGGTAGAAGCTGTTTATTTTGTTTGTGTAGCAGATGACTTTGGTATAGGAGTTTGTATTTGAATTATTTATATTTGAATTCTTTTTTCTTCTTTATATTTGAATTCTTATACAAGATTATTAGTTGTTTATCAGCGCCAAGTGTTACCTTGACAATGTTATTGGGAGAAGTTGCTAGTAAGAGACTGGCATAAACTCACTTCATGTGTGAAAATCTATCCCAAATGAGTCATTATCACCAATGCTGAATTTGATGGCATAGTTTTAAGTAATGCTGAGATTTAGTCAGTTTTTTTAATTCCACATTCGGTTCTTTTATTTAATTTTCTAGTGGAAAATTTACATAATCTCTCTTACCCTATCTTTTAAGTTAGTGTGACAATTTTCCATAATAAACTACTTAAAGAAAAGCTTTGGTCAATAATGGAATGAAACCACAAACAAACAAAAAAACTGCTTTTAAAAAACCAACACTTTTACCAATTTTATATTCAAACAAAACCACATCGTATTGGTGTGATACATGTTTTCAGTGTTTTCTTGGGGCTGGCTTCCATGGCACATTCCACGGCACAGCTGTGGTCAGCCACAGTTTGTCATGCTGGATGGTGGAAGCTCACTCAGCTTCATGTTATCCGGAGGCCCTTGAAACCGCAAATTGTCATGGCTCTATCAATGCCAGCAGTGCAAAATTTGCGATGTACTTTGCTTGTCCACTTCATAAATAGAGACTTGAGTGATGCTATTCTGGTGCAGCATTTCCAAGATCGTGTTGTGGTCCTCAGTTGTCGCCCTCTTGTCCATGTTGTGGAAGCATTCCGTGGCAGATATGTTGCATTGGATGGTCTGTTTTGGAATGTCTAACTTGGAGACAAAGGTCAGGTAGCACAGCCATCATAGCTAAAGAGCACTGGGCAGCAGTCATGGCCAGCAGCCTCTGAGGCAAATGACACACTAAGAAGAGGCAGGAACTCCATCCTCAGAGTTGAGACCTGCATATTTTTGAGGCATCAGCAACAGACATGGTGCTATCATGGCTGACCCAAGCCAAGTGGCTCCCTCTGGCAGAGAAGCTGACCCCATGGACCCAGCCATCAGAGCCACTGCCACCAAACTCTGACATTAGCTACCCAAAAGGCATCTTGCTGCCCCAGGATGTGCTGGCTGGCTTTTCATCCACTTCTTTAATGTAAGCAGAAAACACTGCATTTGAAGTCACATGATCCTGCTGCCAGCAATACATTGGGATGCCAATCCAAGCTGAGGACTGTGGAGCAAATCGACTTTTTAATGTGCTTGTTCACCCACCAGTCATTTTCAGACTCAAAGTAACAAACAGAAATGAGTCATGCTCCACCTCCCACAACAGATTTGTTCTCTAGGGGGGACCACTTCACAAAAGTAGCTGCGCAATTCTCAGGATCACCAGGGTTTGCTTCCAGACACCATCTTTCTGTCTCCAGACATAGGCATTGCGATCTGCCCCACAAGTGACGATGCAGTTGCTCTTGGGAGCCCAATCAATATCTGTGATGTGTCCATTGTGCTCCTTGAGTTCATGAGCTTTCACCTGTTCTTCTTTCAGCTATGCATTTCATGATTATTAGGACTGAGGGCAGTCTGGGTATTATCCCTCTTCCAGGTATGATGGGTGATTGGCTCTGGTAAAAACTGATGCAGTGACATTATTCTTAGTGTTTTCAAAGGAAAAATAACTGGGGCCGAGGGAGTCCAGACGGGCTTAGAGCAGAGGATTTACAGATTCTGGGCAGTCAATACGAACAGGCTCTAGTCAGTTTTAAAATACCCTCAATTTTACTTTATTGATTCATTTTACTGAGCTATTGGATATAATTTATAAATCAGTGATAAACCATAAATAGTACAGTCAGTTCCTCCAGGAATTTAGTTGCCAGCTGAATCAATGGAACACTTGAGGCTCAACTTTATTCTTTGTCTTTCTTTGCATCTTAAAGCAAGACTCTACATTTTATAATAAAATTAGATTTTTGCCCTACAGTTCAGCCAGCTGTTCCCGAGTCAACCATTTAGTTAATTCATAACTTTGCTATTTTAACTGTTCAATTATTTTAGTCAAGTAGAGAATTCTGTAGCTATGCTAATCTGATTATACAAATAATTTAAAATTTGGGTAATTAAGTATATAAATATTTTGGTGAAAAATTTGTAATGTTAAAGATAGATATAAGGAAGTATTTAAATCTAGTAATAAAAAAATGAGTTTAGAAAAATAGTTTTCTCACTGAGCAATATTTTGATATATAGTACCCTTTTTAGAAGGGTAGCAATATATTTTAAATTGAACCTTCCAGAATTATTGTGGAATTTTGTTTGCTTTTCATAAACAGAACAGTAGGACTTAATGCTTGAATGTTTCCTCAAACACATGAAGGAACAAAACATGGTCTTTGCTCTCAAAGGATTTGACTGCCTCGGGGTAAAGAGAGATGTACACAGTTAAAAGCACTATGAGGTGGATTGTGACAGTACAATAATGGGAAGTGCAGAATGCTGTGGATACAGAGGAAAGAGTGTTTGATTCTAATTGAGGGGATGGAGAGATTTGGCATTTGGGTCTTGGCTTCAAAGATAAGTAGAAACTCAACAAGCAGAGTTGGGAGAAAAGAAGATCTTCTAGTGAAAGGATCCACCGACTGTGGCCTGCAGGCCAAATGTGGCCTGCTACCTGTTTTTGTGAATAAAATTTTATTGTAAGACATCCATGCTCATTAAGCTGATATATTTTAAATTATTGTTTAGTAAGCTTATATATTTTTATATATTATTAAGCTTATATATTTTTACTTATGTTTGCATTGCAGTGGCAGAGTTGAGTGGTTAGAACAGAGACCATATGGTCCACAATAACTAAAGGAAAGGTTTGCTCACCCCTTATCTACACCAAGGATGTGAAACAACTTTCTGCAATGATGGAAATGTTTTGTACTTGTGCTGCCCAGTATGTAGCCACTAGCCAGTGTGCCCATTGAATGCTTGAAGTATGGCTAGTGCTAATGAAGAACTGAATTGCTTCATTTAATTTTAATTTAAATGTAAAATAATGAAGTGTTTCTCATGGCTATTGTATCTAGACTAAAGCACTAACATAAGCAAAGGCACGAAGCTAGGCGGAATGTTTCTAAAGATAACTGATAAATAAGGTAAATAAAATTGTAAGGGTCTAGGCTGGGCCCAGTGGCTCATGCCTGTAATCCCAGCACTTTGGGAAGCCGAGGCGGGTGGATCGGTGAGGATTTCAAAACCAGCCTGAGCCAACATGTCAAAACCCTGTCTCTACTAAAAATACAAAAATTACCTGGGTGTGGTGGCACACGTCTGTAATCCCAGCTACTCAGGAGGCTGAGGCAAGAGAATTGCTTGAACCCAGGAGCAGAGGTTGCAGTGAGCTGAGATCACGCCGCTGCACTCCAGCCTGGGTGACAGGGAGATCCTGTCTCAAAAACAAACAAAATATATATATAAGGGTCTAGTCATGTTAGGCTTTCAAAGAAGGTACACTTTATTCACTAAGCTTAGAGAACCACCAAGAAGTTTCTGAATTGGGCTGTCACAGGTGCAGATAATATATATTAGAAAGGCAGCTGTGAAAGCCTTGATGGAGATGTACTACTCTAAGTCTGAAGATGAATTGGGAAGAAGTTACAGTGGTCCAGAGAGAACTGGGGCCTGAAGCAGAGCTGTGAAAATGGGTATAGAAAGTCAGGAATATACTTGAAAGGCATTTTTGGAGTTAGAACTAAACCACATAATGTGTTGTCCAAGGTGACGTTTTTGAGAATGAAAGGAGCATCATTAATAATTATGCCAGCATCCAAAATTATGGACAAAAGTCTGTAAACTACGAGTGCCTCAGGTAAATTGGGATATATGTTCATTCTAATAGAATAAGGTCCATGGTCCTTCAGTGTAAATTAGGTTAAAAAAAAGATAAGATCCAATAAGATATAGATAGAATAAAAGAAGGGTCTAGTTTACATAATTGAGAAGATGATAATATTATATGAGGATGAAGAGACTGGTTTTAGACTTGTAAAATCTGAAATTGTTGTCAACATATAGTTGATTCTCTAAACTGTTACTTTGTTGAGAAAGGACTTTTGAGATTTTATATTTATCCTTAGCAAAACAAGTAAGAATGATTTTCTTTTGTTTTTTAGATTGGAGTCTACTGCACACACCTCAGACAGCCCGGAAGAATTTCTGGAAGAAGAACCCGAACTGAGAGGGATTGAATTTGAGGATGAAAGCAGTGACAAAGATGCATGGCCAGCACCGGAAACCCAGCCAGAGCAAGAGAAGCAAGATGGTGAGAAGGTATGAGATCACTTATTCAAAAAAGTGAAAATAAGTAAACAAAATTTTAACTTTCTTAATCATATGTTGTTAGAAAAATGCAATGATATATTTTAAAGCCTTAGAAATTGTGTTTAGTGTTAAAAAGCAAGGTCAGGTACTAGAGTTGGGGAGAGGACAAAATGACAAGTGTAATTGAGTTTTAAAAAGTTTGAGTTATAATGAAGTGTGAGTTTGTAAAAGTTTGAGTTATATAGAAGATAAAATAAGGGATGTTTAGTAAGATCCTTCAGTGCATTTAAAATATAAGTTAATTTGTGGAATTAAACACACTTAAGTACACAAATGATACGACCTACCTTATAGAACCAGTTAGAATGCTTTCAGGTCCAATAAACCTTCAATTGCACCCCCATTTTAGTTAGAGGGGCAGGAATTAGTAATCTAGAAAAAAAATATTTGATCACTATTGACCTCACAAAATTCTGGAAAAATAACTAAATTCATGTTTTTTAAAACTGAAAAAAAAATATATATAAATCCTTGGTAAATAAGTAAACTCTTCATCTGGGTTGATTTCTGCAACTTTAAGATATTTATTGCTATTTTCTTTTTTCTTCCTTCTATCTATTTCCATTTTTTTTCCTTTAATATCTTCAGTCTTTCCTTTCCACAGATTCCCTATTTCTTCTTTCACATGTTCTTAAGTTTCTTGAAAAATCTTTTAGCTGTTTGCTAAATCCAGCAGGCAGGTGAATAAGTGAAACTATATTATCAATTTTGTTTTCTTTTTCTTTTTTTGAGATGGAGTTTTGCTCTTTTTGCCCAGGCTGGGGTGCAATGGCATGATCTCGTTCCACTGCAACCTCTGCTTCCTAGGTTCAAGCACTTCTCCTGCCTCAGCCTCCCTAGTAGCTGGGATTACAGGTGCCCCCAACTATCCCCAGCTAATTTTTGTATTTTTAGTAGAGACAGGGTTTCACCACTTTGGCCAGGCTGGTCTTGAACTCCTGACCTCAGGTGATCTGCCTGCCTCAGCCTCCCACAGTGCTGGGATTACAGGCGTGAACCACTGCCCCAACCAATTTTGTTTTCTTAAGTCACTTTGATTTATCTCCTGCTTCCTCTGTTTCATGAAATAATATGTGTGATCTCAGCTCACTGCAGCCTCTGCCTCGTGGGTTTAAGTGATTCTCCTGCCTCAGCCTCTCAAGTAGCCAGGATTACAGGTGCACCAACATGCCCTGCTAGTTTTTGTATTTTTTTTTTAAATAAAAATGGGGTTTTAGTAACTTAAGCATATCCTAAGAGTTGACAAGAAAAAAAAAAAGTAGAGACGGGGTTTTACCATGTTTGCCAGGCTGGTCTTGAATTCCTGATCCGCCCACCTTGGCCTCCCAAAGTGCTGGGATTACAGGGATGAGCCACTGTACCCAGCCTCATGAAATGATACTTTTATATTTATTTTTGTAATATTTCAATAGTTTTTGGGGGGCAGATGGGTGTTTGGCTACATGGATAAATTCATTAGTGATGATTTCTGAGATTTTGGTGCACCCATCATCCATGCATTGTACACTGTACCCAATGTGTAGTCTTTTATTCCTCACCCCCTCCTACCCTTCCCCCGAGTCCCCAAAATCCATTATATCACTCTTATGCCTTTGCATTCTCATAGCTTAGCTCCCACTTGTGAGTGAGAACATACAATATTTGGTTTTCCATTACTGAATTACTTCACTTAGAATAATGGTCTCCAACTCCATCCAGGTTGCTATGAATGCCATTATTACATTCATTTTTATGGCTGAGTAGTATTCCATGGTCTATATATACCACATTTTCTTTATGCATTCATTGGTTGATGGGCATGTAGCCTAGTTCCATATTTTTGCAACTGCAAATTGTATTGCTATAAACATGCATGTACAAGTGTCCTTTTCATATAATTACTTCTTTTTTTCTGGGTAGATAGCCAGTAGTGGAATTGCTGGATCAAATGGTAGTTCTACTTTTAGTTCTTTAAGGAATCTCCACAGTTTTCCATAGTGGTTGTATGAGTTTACATATTCCCACCATAGTGTAAAAGTGTTCCCTTTTCATTATATCCACTCCAGCATCTATTGTTTTTTTTATTGTGGCCATACTTACAGGAGTAAGGTGGTATCGAATTGTGGTTTTAATTTGCATTTCCTTGATAATTAGCATATTAGGGTTTTCTAGAGGGACAGAACTAATAGGATAGATGTATATGTAAAGGAAGTTTATCAAGGAGTATTAACTCATGATCACAGAGTCTCACAGTAGGCCATCTGCAAGGTAAGGCGCAAGGAAGTCAGTCCAAGTCCCAAAGCTAAAGAACCTGGAGTCCAGTGTTTGAGGGAAGGAAGCAGCCAGCCCGGGAGGAAGATGTAGGCTGGGAGTCTAAGCCAGTTCAATCTTTCCACGTTCTTCTGCCTGCTTTTTATTCTGGCCATGCTGGCAGCTGATTACATGGTGCCCACCTGGATTGAGGGTGGGTCTGCCTCTTCCAGTTCCCTGACTCAAATGTTAATCTCCTTTGGTAACACCCTTACAGATGCACCCAGGAATGATACTTTGCATCCTTCCATCCAATCAAGTTGTCGCTCAGTATTAACCATCACAAGTCTACCCCTTCACAGCTTGAACCCATACACCTTTCCTGAGATCATACATAATCTTCAAATAAAGACAGTAATAAGGTCATAATTACACCTAACATAATACAGCTGTCCTTTGTACAACTGGAAACCCCCAACCCAAATACTATTACATAAAGTTAACATTTAAGTGCTGATATGAAGTCAATAAATCTTATGTCATGTGATAAAGGAAAAGGGAAATAAAATGAAGATATTTTCTTAGTACAAGTGTATACATGCACAAACATGTTCTTTTTTTTTTTTTGAGACGGAGTTTCACTCATGTTACCCAGGCTGGAGTGCAATGGTGCGATCTCGGCTCACCGCAACCTCCGCCTCCTGGGTTCAGGCAATTCTCCTGCCTCAGCCTCCTGAGTAGCTGGGATTACAGGCACGACGCACCACCATGCCCAGCTAATTTTTTGTATTTTTAGTAGAGACGGGGTTTCACCATGTTGACCAGGATGGTCTCGATCTCTTGACCTCGTGATCTACCCGCCTCGGCCTCCCAAAGTGCTGGGATTACAGGCTTGAGCCACCGCGCCCGGCCACACAAACATGTTCTTAACAAAATAAGGAAGAAATGCTCATGACAATAACAGTCCTCATTTCTGCAGCTGGTCAAGTGGTCGAAGCTGGTATTGATGACTACTTTCTTCTGCTACCCATTCTATATTCCCTTTGCATTTAGCAAGCACCTCAGCAGGTCCTGTTTTTTTTCCTATTTTCCTAGTGGAGTAACCCAAACCTTCATTCCTAAAGGATCTGGGCCATTTGTAGTCCTCCCTGGATTGGGCTGTTGTAGTTTCCCATTGACCTTAATCACAGGCATGGTAATACTAAAAGATGCCCCAAGGGATTTCCTATATTCCACGCATATTCTTCCTTACCTCCATTGTGGAGTAGTAGACTGATTTCATCTTGATAGTCCGGGTCAGTCACTCACAGTGATAGTGAAGCAATTAGCAGCTACCACCATCACCCCTAGTGATCCACTAGCAAAATTTTTGCTTCCTGTCCTCACGACATTATGTTCTGCTGGCCTAGAGGTCTTAGTTCCAGAGAGGAATGCTGCCACCAGGAGACACAACAACGATTCCATTAAACTGGAGGATTGTCACCTGGACACTTTGGGCTCCTCCACCATTCTGTCAATCCAGCTGCTTCAGGATGTTGGGGGAATATGGTAATGCCAGTGAATTCCAGGAGCATGAGCCCTCTGCTGAACTTCTTTAGCTGTAAAGTGAGTGCCTTAATCAGAGGCAATGCTGTGTGGAATACCGTGATGATGGATAAGGCATTCTGTGAGTCCACGGATGGTAGTCTTGGCAGAAGCATTGTATGCAGGATAGGCAAACCCATATCCACAGTAAGTGTTTATTCTAGTGAGGACAAACCTATGCTCTTTCCATGATGGAAGAGGTCCAGTATAATCCACCTGCCACCAGGTAGCTGGCTGATCACCTTGAGGACTGGTGCCATATAGAGGGCTTAATGTTGGTCTTTGCTGCTGGCAAATTGAGCACTCAGCAGTGGCCGTAGCCAGGTCAGCCTTGGTGAGTGGAAGTTCTTGTTGCTGAGCTCATGCGTAACCTCCATCCCTGCCATCATGGGCAGTTTGTTCATGGACCCACTGGGTGATGACAGGTGCATCTGGGGAAGGAGGCCAAGTGGTGTCCACAGAACAAGTCATCCTATCCACTTGATTATTAAAATCCTTCTCTGCTGAGGTCACCCTTTGGTGAGCACTCACATGGGATACAAAAAGCTTCAGTTTTTTACCCCCCAGAGAGGTCCATCCACATACCTCTTCCCCAAATTTTTTTGTCACCAATTTTCCAATCATGTTTCTTTCAAGTCCCTGACCATCATTCTAAACCATTGGCTACAGCCCATGAATCAGTATATAATCGCACATCTTGCCATTTCTCCTTCCATGCAAAATGCACAGTCAGGTGCACTGCTTGAAGTTCTGCCCACTGGGAAGATTTCTCTTCACCGCTGTCCTTCAGGGATGTCCTAGAAAGGAGCTGTAGTGCTGCAGATTCCTAGTAGTAGTGTTGCTGCTGTCCACTTTTGGGTGGTGCCTGCATATTGTGCAGAACCATCTGCGAACCAGGTCCTCCCTAGTCTCTCTACATCTGTCAGCTGATCATAGGGAACGCCCCATGAGGCAATTGGTGCAGGCTGTGGAAGAGAAGCCAGGGTGGAAGGAGTGGAGACTATGGGCATTTGAGCCACTTTCTTATGTAACTTACTTGTGCCTTCAGGACCTGCTCAAGGCTGATCACGCATATACCACTTAAATTTGATGATGGAATGTTGCTGTGCATGACCCACAGTTGGGTCAGAAAACACCCAGTTCATGATAGGCAGTTCAGGTCATATGGTGACTTGATAACCCATAGTCAAATGTTTGGTTTCCACTAAAGCCTAGCAACAGGCTAAGAACTGCCTCTGAAAAAGAGAGCAGTTATCTGTAGAAGATGGCAGGGCCTTGCTCCAAAATCTTAGATGCCTCCACTGTGATTCACCTATGGGGACCTGCCAAAGGCTTCAAACAGCATTGTCTCTCAAAAGGAGAGTAGTTATCTGCAGAAGATGGCAGGGCCTTGCTCCAAAATCCTAGAGGCCTTCCCTGTGATTCATGTATAGGGGCCTGCCAATGGCTCCAAACAGCATACCTCTCTGCCACTGACACCTCAAGCATCACTGGATCTGCTGGGTCATATGGCCCAAGTGGCAGAGCAGCTTGCACAGCAGCCTGGGCCTGTTGCAGAGCCCTCTCCTGTTCTGGACCCACTCAAAACTGGCAGCCTTTTGGTTTACTCTATAAATGACCTGGAGTAACACACCCAAATGAGAAATGTGCTGCCTCCAAAATCCAAATATGCCCACTAGGTGTTGTGTCTCTTTCTTGGTTGTAGGAGGGGCCAAATGCAGCACCTTATCCTTTACCTTAGAAGGAATATTTCAACAGGCCCCACACCACTGTACGCCTAGAAATTTCACTGAGGTAGAAGTTCCCTAAATTGTAGTTGGATTTATTTCCCATCCTCTGGCACGCAAATATCTCACCAATAAGTCCAGTGTGTTTGCTACTTCTTGCTTACTGGATCCAATCAGCATAATGTCATCAATGTAATGGACCAGTGTGATATCTTGTGGAAGTGAAAAGCCATGAAGGACTCTTCGAACAAGATTATGACACAAATCTGGAAAGCTGGTATACCTCTGAGGCAGGACAGTAAAGATATATTGCCGGCCTTGCCAGCTGAACACAGATTGCTTGTGGTAGACCTTATGGACAGGAATGGAGAAAAAGGCATTTGCCAAATCAATGACTGCTTACCAGGAGGTATGTTAATTTGCTCAAGCAGTGAAACCACATCTGGTACAGCAGTTGCAATTGGAGTCACCACTTGGTTAAGCTTATGATAATCCACTGTCATTCTTCAAGATCCATCTGTCTTCTGTACAGGCCAAATAGGAGAGTTGAATGGAGATGTGGTGGGAATCTCCACACCTGCACCTTTCAAGTCCTTGATGGTGGCACTGATCTCCACAGCACCTCCAGGGATGCGATACTGTGTTTGATTTACTATTTTTCTAGGTAGAGGCAACTCTAATTGTTTCCATTTGGCCTTTCCCCCCGTAATAGCCCTCACCCTACCAGTCAGGGAGCCAATGTGGGGGCTCTGCCAGCTGCTAAATATGTCTGTGCCAATTACGCATTCTGGCATAGGGCAAATGACCACAGGATGGGTCCAGGGGACCCACTGGATGTACTGTAAGTTAGACCTGAGCTAAAACTCCGTTAGATTACTGATCTCCACAAGCCCATGCTTTAACTGGAGGACCACAATGATGTTTTGGGTCTCCTGGAATCAACATCAACTCAGAACCAGTGTTCAGTAGTCCTTGAAATGTCTGATCATTTCCCTTTCCTCAATGCATAGTAACCCTGGTGAAAGGCCAGAGGTCTCCTTGGGGAACGATGGGAGAAAGATTCACAGCATAAATTATTGGTACTGTAGTGGAGTCCTTCCTCAAGGGGCTTCATTCAAGGGTTCTGGGTCTGTAAACTGGTTCAAGTCCGGAAATTGATTGAGGGGCTGTGATTCTCTTTTTTTAAATAATTCAAATTAGTCTTTTGTCCACTCAGTGGAAGTTTTCCACTTACATAAATTAAGTAGGAATGCAGTAGGTTCCTATCAATTCTGTTTCTGGGAACATCGTGATTAATTAGCTAGTGCCAGAGCTCTACAGAAGGGACTATTCTGATTGGTGCTTTGCCTCTGCGGTCCATCACAGTAGTAGCTCGCCCACCTTGCCTTTGATGGTTGAGTGCTGCCACTTGGCCCCTGCCACCTCAGGATCCAATTATTTATGTTGCATTTATTTTGTAGTTGAGTGTGGTTCCCACTGTTAGATCTGGCATACAGAGAAGAGCAATCATAGAGCTCTTCAAAGATTCAGGTGCTACCCTCACAAATCTGTTAACACAAAGCATTGGTCAAGGGTGTATCTGCTGGACCCTCCCAGCTGGGATGAGTAGGTCTAAAGTGACTAATCCACTTCAGAATCCCAATCTCCATAAGCCTTTGGTTCCCTTCCTCTACATTAAGTCAAGGGAGATGAGGCATTTCCATCTTGCTCACAGAGGGCTATCTTTTAATCCATAATTCAGCTAACCAAGCAAATAAGTGATTAGAACCTTTTACAACTCCCTGAGTGGCAACATTAAATGCAGGGTCCCTACTTAGTTGGCCCAAATCAATAAATTCAGCCTAATCCAATTCTGTGTTCCTTCCACCATCTTTCACCATACTCTTAATATCCATTCCCATGCCTGTTCCAGATTCCTGCTTATATAAATTAGAAAACTCCAGCAGTTCTTTTCAAGTATAGCACACATCCTTGTGGGTCACACTCTGAACCTCACCTCTAGGGGCCTGCCGGGACTTGAGTCTAGTTACACATCTAGAAGCAAACAGGGCTGATTCTCTTTTCCTGAGGTTATATTACCACTACGGAGGATGGCGAAGCTGTTTCTTCTGGCAAAAAGTGCTTATCAGAGTTTTACAAGCTCCGTGTCCCCAGCTTCATCAGGGTCCTCCCACATGTCGCCATTCCAAGTTGCAGAGTCCCATTCTTTTCCAATCCATGCCCTCACTTTAACAGTAGACACCTGGTGAGGCTGTGCATGCACCTTTCATTGCTGCAGGTCAGCCACTCACATGATGAGAGGTTGTGTCTGATTTTCCACCATTTCAACTCTTTGTCTATAGGAGGTAAGACTCAGTCGGGGTTTTTGAAATGAGTATCTGCTTTTGAAGTTGGGAGTTAGAGTCCCTGAGTTCATCCTTTTCTTTCATCACTTGTCCAGTGAACTTAGGAGCAACCAACCAACTTCATTATGTTCCTTAGTTCTCCACATCTGGTCAAAGGTATCATGTATAGAGTCACTAAACTTCTTCCCTCTCAAGAGCGGTGAATCAGGAGTGTCAAATGCATTTATTTTGCATAGCTCAAAACAATTCACACCAAGGACTATCAGTGTTCTCCATACTATTAGAAGTGGTGTCCTTAGCATTCTGGGGTCTGATCATATTAAGGAGCCAACTCCAGACACTCTAAAACCTAAGAAAAAACTCCATCGTTAATACTTGGTTCCTTTAGAACCATTTCTGGTACCAAAATCTGTTAGGGTTTTCTAGAGGGACAGAACTAATCGGATGGGTGTATATATAAAGGGGAGTTTATTAAGGAGTATCAACTTACACCATCACAAGGTGTCCCACAATAGGCTGTCTGCAAGCTGAGGAGCAAGGAAGCTAGTCCGAGTCCCAAAGCTGAAGAACCTGGAGTCTGATGTTCAAGGGCAGGAAGCATTCAGCACGGGAGAAAGATGGCTGGGAGGCTAAGCCAGTCTCATCTCTCCACGTTTGTCTGCGTGCTTTTTATTCTGGCCATGCTGGCAGCTGATTAGATGGTACCCAGCTGGATTGAGGGTGGATCTGCCTCTCCCAGTCCACTGACTCAAATGTTAATCTCCTTTGGCAACACCCTTACAGATACACCCAGCAATAACACTTTGCATCCTTCAATCCAGTCAGGTTGACAGTATTAACCATCACAATTAGTGATCTTGAGCATTTTTCCATGTTTGTTGGCTATCAGTTTTATAATTTTAATAATGGTAATAAAATTTCCCTTATTAGAATGTCAGTAGGATTAATTAGAAATACTTGGCATTAAATAGAAGTAATCTGGTAAACATTGGATTTTAGAAATTGGAGAGTTCATGTTGTCAAAAAAGCATTTCCACACTTTAATGATATGATGCAAGGAGCAGGATTGTTCAGAAATGACCCTGGTGTTGACTGAGACTTCGGCTCTCTCCTTCCAACAAGAAGCAGTTCCCAAACTGAACTTCCCATAAGACTGGTAGTGCTTCCTACCTCTGCCAAAGTGAACTGTAATTTCCCATAGGCCCCAAAGATTCCAGATGCTGAACAGCTGGTGTTATGTAAAGAGCTAGCATCAAGTCTATACTCCCTCTCGTGTCTTTTTCCTGAAAATGTTCCTCCCATGATTGCCCTATAAGAAAGAATGAGAAATGGGCAGGTCTTTTCATTGAATCTCTGACTCACATCATGTGTCCACAGAGTATCCTGGTCCTGCCCCGTCTTTCGTTAAGAGCAGTGGAAGTATGTGGTACTTAGGATTGTTTTATTTTGCTGATACTGCCTTATCAGTTTCCCCTTTCCCACAGTAAGACTGTTATTTAAACTATGCCCTATAATGTTGTAAATTTGAGTCTTAGTGTAGGATAGGTAGGCACTGAGAAGGGATCTATCATGCATGACAAATAAATTAGTTTGTAATCATGTCCTTTTTTCTCCTCTCCTAATGGTGTAGGAATCTGAATTAGAGCCTATGAATGGTGAGATAATGGATGATTCTCTTAAGACCTCAGTTATAGCAGAAGAGGAAGACTCCACTAGTGAAGTTCTAGATGAAGAATTAAAATTGCAGTCTTTTAATTCCAGTGAAGACCCTACAAATCTTGTTCCACTGGTGGTAGAATCTTCAAAAGTCCCTGAAGCAGATGCATCAGATAAGGTAAGGGGGCAATGAGCTATTTTTTAATAAAGTGTACCAATGTTGGTGACATTAGGGGGGAGGTGCGTGGTATATGTGTTTGCTTCCACCTTAACATGTACAATGCTTTAGGAAGATGAACTTTTATACTAGATTTGATATTGTAATAAAATGCTATCAGTAATATTCTATAAATCTAAATAATTATAACATATCTGATACATGGTAACAAAATGAGTTTTATTACCTTTAATACTTTGTACTTAGGAAATGCTTAGAAAAATGGATAAAGCATTATTTACTAAATATTTGAGTATCTATTGCTTACATAGTCTATGACCAAAACAGTAATTTAAATTTAATTAGGTAGGCAGATTAGGTTAATGGGGGAAAAAAGCTTGTTGAGGTATTTTAAAATAAATTTAGTTACTTTTGAATATTAAATTTATGACTAAAAAACTATTGTATGATATTATTTATTAGTGTCTCACCTAAGTAAATGAATAAAACTTCCATTGCCCTAACTTACAATCTAATGAAATCATCGTCAAACTTAGTGGGGTGGCACAGTGTCAAGTCCCAAGGGATTCTTGGTTCTGGCTCCTGTAACGCTAGGAAACTCAAAAAACTGAGTTGATTCATGGTTTTGAAGAATCTTCATATGAAGTTTAAAGTGTCTTAAATACAAAATAATTCATTATATCCTCAAAGTAAGAACTTAGTATATTTAAATTACCATGTGATGCAATTTTGAAGAAATTGAGTTGTATTCAGGATATGTACACAGTTAGCAAAAGAGAGAAATTTTAAAAAATGTACACGATTAACAAAAGTAGTGAATACTGAATTGTTTAAATTGTAGTTCAGTGTCATTGCATATTAGTGCCTCAGAATAATTTATTTTTAGAACTGTATTACAAGTTTATTTGTTGACCAGGCTTTTAAATTTTCAGACCCCACATACAGCTGACTCAGAAATGATGGATGAAGGCACATCTGATGAAAAGGGGCACACAGAAGAGAAACTGTCCCTACTTCCAAGAAAGAAAGCACATCTTGGGAGTTCAGACAGTGTTACTACTATGTCAAATGAAGAACGATCTGATGGTGGTTTTCCAAACTCTGTGATAGCTGAATTATCTGAAGAACCAGTCTCTGAGAATTTATCTCCCAACACTACTTCCTCATTGGAAGACCAGGGTGAGGAGGGGGTATCTGAGCCCCAGGAAACATCTACTGCTGTTCCTCAGAGTTCCTTGATAGAGGTTGAACTTGAAGATGTGCCATTTTCACAGAATGCAGGACAGAAGAACCAGTCAGAGGAGCAGTCTGAAGCATCTTCTGAGCAACTGGATCAGTTTACACAATCAGCAGAAAAAGCTGTGGATAGCAGCTCAGAGGAAATAGAAGTGGAAGTGCCTGTGGTAGACAGGCGGAATTTAAGAAGAAAGGCCAAAGGGCATAAAGGACCTGCTAAGAAGAAAACTAAGTTGACCTGAAGGAAGAAGAAATGCAGATGATAAACCATCTTCTTTGTAACATAATTGTTGTTTTTAAAATATGGTAATTAATAAATAGCATGGGGCACAGCACAAAAATTTCCAAAATTTCAATTTGAACTTATTTACTATGCAGTTTTTTGCTTCCCTTTAGAACGTAGAATTCACCATTCCTTTAATTTTTCAGGCTATTTTTGGTAAATGCAATTTTTTATTTTTATTAATCATGTTTCAATTTTGGGAAACCAGATCATATTATATTTTATCAGGTGGTACATCTGACCATTATTTCAAAAATATAATTAAAAAACTGAAAGTAGCAGCATTTCCATTACTTACAAGGATCACAGAAATCTTTTATACTAAAGGTTTTAATAAAGTAAAACTTGGTGAGGGTTCTCAAAGTTTTAAATTTCAAAACTAATCACCATTTTAAAAAATGTTGGCATGCCTAAACGAGTGTCAGTAAATTACAATAAATATAACTTCAAGTAAATGAGAGCACAAAAACAAACTATGGTCAAAGGTTCATGAAGATACTTTGGTTTTGGCCTCTAGTTTTCTTCCCTCTGATTTCAGCATCTATGGAAAGGTACACATAAACTGTTTCTGATTCATTCTATCATCTGATGTTAACAGTACTGTCAGGGATTTAACTGTGGCATGTGGGGACTAATAACATTTAAAATTTCATTTGCAGTATTAGTTTGCTATAGTTTTTTTCTGTCTGCATATGTGCAGATGCCTAGAAGTTTAGACTCCAGTTTCACCTTTAATCAGGTAAAAATCCCAAGTAATATAATTTAGGGACATAGTTTAATATTGACTTCTGGCCTGATCAAGATTAAGATTAAGCTGGAGATTGTACTTTTATCCCCACTCAGTTAACATGTATATTTCAGAAATGTGAGGCTTCTTCCTGAGGCATCTCTTTAGATCTTGCCACCTCCCTAATTCTGCAGTCTTATTTATATTTCCCATAGCGTTCATCCACTTCTCTCCAACTCATGGAGTGATTCTCCAATCAACAGTTTCCTGCCTGCCGGCTTATGCCTTTGATGTCCATATTTGGGTAGGTTTGGAGGTGCATCCCACAATATTAGACCTATATGGCAGGAGTAAAACTGCCTTGGGGAGCTATAGTTACAAGGGCTTCAATCAGATTAGAGGCTTCAGTCATCCTTTTGATTTGTTCTGTGAGTACTGGTTGCCCGCTAGCCTGTTAAGTGTATATTGTGTTGCCATAGCAAAGGCCTAGGAAAATTTGAAAAACCCTGAACTGTTAATTTTTATATAGTAATTTATTTAAAAATGAACAAAATGGTAACTCTTAGAATCCAAAGATAATCTCAAAACAGTTCTACTATTTGGAAATATTACACGTACTCACATTTGCCCTTAAGTTGGAGAATATTTTGAGACCATTTAGATTGTTTTACAAATAGCTTGATCTTGATCCTTATGTGAAAGAAACATTATGACTTTGTGTCATTATTTGAGGTAGCAAAGGATTGATGTTGAAAGCTTATTCAGTTTATATATAGTAAGCTGATGTCACGTCAGTAAATTTTGTTTTGGGATGTTGGTATTTTCAATCTAATTAGTTGAGTTAAAATCTAGCAGTCAAAATAGTAAACCCTCCTATTTGTGTTAGATTTTGAACACTTCTATTACTCTATATTTTCTTTAATTAATTGGTCAGCGGTAAGCCAGATTGTTTCATTCTAAATGAAAATTCAAGCACTTTGGCCATTTTCTTCAACAAACGCTAATATTAAGTGAAAAAAAAAAAAGATATTAGTGAATCTACCAAACATTTATGCTGTTTTATACATTTTATGAGAAATTCCTGTCAGTATCACAAAAGGAAATGTCCTGTTAAGATTCAGTAAATTCTTAACCCTTACAGTTTTCATTTCTTAGATTTAAAACACTTTTAGATATTTTATTTTTGCTTGGGTTTAAAACATTTTCTTTTCAAATTAAACATGGAATGCTTCATGAATCTGTGTGTCATCCTTGCACAGGGTCCATGCTAATTTTCCCTGTATTATTCCAATTTTAGTATATGTGCTGCTGTAGTGAGCACCAAAAGACTTTCTTTAAAGAGGTGTACTTTTTAAAAGACTGAGCTCACTGGGTTAACTCTTGATGTGTGAATATAGTTGAGTTTACAAAAAATGTTTAATCATATATGACCACTGGGGTCTAACAGTATAAATTTCTTCTTGTTAAACTTGTTTGGATTAAATAGTGAATTGTAAGCAATTTAGAAGTTTTTTGTTCAGCACACAGGAAGACTTATGTTACAGATGGTCTCTGACAGAAAATGTTATTTTGGGGTTTATAGATTATAGAGGGAAAAGTTATATCACATGGAAAAACCTAACTCATGTTCAGTAACTTGAGTATAGAATTTCTAACACAGTTATCTTCAATAAGGAATCTACATGAACTTAATCAGTTATTTGTAGTTTTTGCAAGGCATTAGAAAAGATTTCACAATTACAGAGGACTGAAAATGTGATTTCAACCAGCTAGCCTAGTTGTTGAATGTCCAGTCACATTATACATAGTCCTTTGTGAACTTGTTTGTGAAGGGAGTTCACTTTTTGTGTATATATGTGTATATTTCCTTGTGTAATATAAAGCAGATGGTTATTAGCAATATTTTAGTTCAAGTTTATTCAATTGCTAGACATCACAGAAATTAGTATATTTAAGAATTTATTATAAAGCTCCTCTACAACTTTTAAAGGTGAGAGGGTCTATTATGATTTTTTTATAAAATCAAATAGCATGATTTAAAATGTCAGTCTTCTGCTTAAAATGTGTCTATATTCATGGTATTTCCATTCAGTGTAGATGGTAAGGAAAACATCTAGTCATTGAATATTTACTTTTAGCAGACTCCAGAACACTACCTACAATGGTTTCAAGTGACTAGAAATCTTGAAGGTTTTTATGGTTGCGTCAAATTGAACCTGTAATATCTAAATATCTGCTCTTATGTTCTGCTTTATCCCTTGGGATTACTTTCTAAGGTTTGGTCACACCAGCAAACTGAAACAGATCTTAATGTAAATAAAGAATTTATACTAATATTACTCATCTGTGTTACAGTATTTTGGAAACAAGTTTCTGCCTTGTATGTCCATTAGTTAGCAATATGATGTTTCCGGTGTCATCTAGTGTTTCATGGGTGTGATTAGCTACAAGTGTTATGCTTATGTTTTCATACTCAATATCAAGCTTTCTTTGTACTTTACAAAATAGTAATTTATTTTTGGTTCTAAAAAAAACAAGCAAATTTCATTTTTGTAGTATTCAGAAATTACCTGCAGTTTTTTGTTTTTTTTTTTCTTTCACTTTCTAGAAGTTGTGATCCCCACATCACCCATTTATATTAGTGGCAAAATTACTTGCTAAAATCTAATTGTAAGAAAGGCTTAGCTTCTGTCATCAAGTGATTGTATCATCCTGGATCATCATTTCCAAGGAACTAGCCTTTCTTTTTCTAAATGTCTGTATGTGTTCTAAAACTTCTAGTGTATTTATAGAACTCAGAAAAAATGTTACATTATTCAGAGTAGCAAGTCTTACTGAAGTACTTTGTTTGTTTTCTTGGCAGTTTTTTTTTTTTTTAAGTAAGTTTAAAAGTAGTAATTAAATCTATATTTTGTGATTGTTTCCTGGTCTGTGTTTTGAAATTCTTTTCCTTCCGTTTTCCTCATGAAGATGTTTCAGATACTGAATTTGTTTAGACATTGAATGACTTTGTTAAAGGCACAATTAATCACATTGGTTGTATTCTGAAGACAGACTTTTAAAAAATAAACAACTTAAAACAATGTGGTGATTATAAATTAATGTAATTTACAGCCACAACATATCACAACAGTGGTTTCACTAAGTTACAACCCTAAAACCTTACCTTTTTACATCATCTAAGTAACTGCAAATTTCTCCTCAATCAGTGCAGTCTTGTTTTCCTTTTAAAAGTTAGCTGGAGTTACTTAAACTAATTGTTAATACCATTCTAAAAGTATAAATATATTGTTTAGAATACAGAATATGCTAAGAAAGTACAAAGACTTTTATATTATTTTTTTCATTTTCATGATTCAAGTAGAAAATAGTGCCAAGTAGATACATAACATGGTAAATGAGACAAAGGTTTAGAATATGAATTCACTAGACCTTTGCTAGCAGTACTCAGAAATTAAGGCTTTCACAGGTGAAAAGATTTCTCTGAGAGTTCTGAACTTTTAGTCACATACTTTTAGTGTAAACACTATAAACTTAACATCATGTATTGCTGCATTTTTTTTTTTACGATTAGTGAAGTGGAAGATACTTCAGTTAAATGTTCACACATAATTAAGTGTGCATTAACCTTTTTGAAAGGCATTTTCAACGGACACTGGTGGTTTTTCAGGAAATGCGGAATCTATTGCTGTATATACCCACTCGTAAATGCAGATATTGATAAAGAAGTAGAATATTTGTATATTTGCTTTTTTTCAATCAGTTTTATTAACATGGGGGTCTAAGTAGATTTCAAAATAAAGACCATTTATACAACGGGACTATTTTAATGTTTACAATAAATCTCGATGGCAGACATGTATGGCTATTTGGTAGTATTGAGAAACAGTACAGTAATGGCAGTTTTTCCAATTGGTGTGTAGTCCTCTAATTATATATTAAATTGCTGTCAAACCAGTAAGACTGCATTTATGCATCCATCATTTTCAGGATTGTTCGTAACCTGGGCATACTTTCCTAAGGAAAACAAAACCAAAACAGGGAGAGTGTTATTAGCTAATAAAAGTTAATTTTAAAGAATATAACTTTTGCCTAACTTTTTGTTTTTGTTTTAACACAGGGTTTCACTCATTGCTCAGGCTGCAGTGCAATGGTGCGATCTCGGCTCAATGCAACCTCTGTCTCCTGGGATCAAGCGATTCTCCTGCCTCAGCCTTTTGAGTAGCTGGGACCACAGGCACACAGCACTGCCTGGATAATTTATTTGTTTTTGATTCTGGTAGAGATGGGGTTTTGCCATGTTGCCTAGGCTGGTCTTGAACTCATTGCCCACCTCCCAGGTTCAAGTGATTCTCCTGCCTGAGCCTCCCAAGCAGCTGGGATTACAGGCATGGGCCACCATGCCCGGCTAGTTTTGGTATTTTTACTAGAGATTGGGTTTCACCATGTTGGCCAGGCTGGTCTCGAACTCCTAACCTCAGATGATCTGCCCACCTTAGCCTCCCAAAGTACTGGGATTACAGGCTGAGCCACCGCTCCTGGCAGTTTCAACTAGTTATCAGGTTACCTACGTGGGACAGATAGATCTATTTCTTTAAATTCAGTAGGTTTTTTTGTTTTTTGTTTTTTTGTTTTTTTTTTTTTTGGGACGGAGTTTTGCTTGTTACCCAGGCTGGAGTGCAATGGCGCGATCTCAGCTCATCGCAACCTCCGCCTCCTGGGTTCAGGCAATTCTCCTGCCTCAGCCTCCTGAGTAGCTGGGATTACAGGCACGTGCCACCATGCCCAGCTGATTATTGTTTTGGTATTTTTAGTAGAGACGGGGTTTCACCATGTTGACCAGGATGGTCTCGATCTCTTGACCTCATGATCCACCCGTCTTGCCCTCCCAAAGTGCTGGGATTACAGGCCTTACACAGTGAGCCACTGCACCTGGCCAAAGAGGATCAAAATAATTCTAACAGAATGTATTATACCTAAAACCAATAAGCTAAATTTAAAAACAATTGTATTTATAACACTTTTTCTATAGTTTTTTTTTTTTTTACTAAAGGTTTACATCTTATTTACATTGTTTTAATCTAGCTCTCCTGCATTAAAAAAATTTTGCTGTGTATTTTATTAATATATCAACTTGAAGAGTATTTCTATTAGCAACAGCCCTGTATTAAAAAATTCACTTACCCCAAATAACTTTGCCTCCTTGCGTCACAAGGCCCAATTCGCTCACATTCACCTCAATGACAGTACCTTTGGTAATAACACCCAAAGTTGTATACAGTGGGGATGAGGGATTCTTCTTTACACCAAGTATTGGTAGGCAAAAGGTGGCTTTCAGTTCAGGATGTGTCACATGGGCTTTCTTGAAACGTAAGCCCTAGTAAGTCAAACACAACATAAGAATGCTTACATCCAAAATGTTAACAGTGAAGAGTAGTGGTCCTTTTCACTTATCCTTTTCAACCATCTCCAAAAAACCATGGTTGAATAATGTCATCTTAAAGCATCTAACAAAATACATACTACAGACTAAAACCTGATGGGTAGAGTATTAATATGTGGGGAAAACACCCACACATGTACTTAAGATTTTTTTTTTTTTTTTTTTGGACACAGGGTCTTGCTCAGTTGCTCAGGCCAGAGTGCAATGGCACGATGTCGAATCACTGCAGCCTGGACTTCTTGGGCTCAAGACATCCACCCACCTTGGGCTGCCGAGTATCTGGGACTATAGGCACACACTGCTATGCCTAGCTAATTTCTGAATTTTTGATAGAGATGGGCTTTCACCATGTTGCCTGCTGGCCTCGAACTCCTGGGCTCAACCAATTCCCCCCCCTCAGCCTCCTGGGATTACAGGCTACCACAGCTAGCCTCTGAAGTTTTTTTTTTTTTTTTTTTGAAACTGTGTAACAGCTACCTAGCAACATACTCAGATTTCTACTGTCTAGTCATCTACACTTAGACTTACTAAGGACTTGATACATGCCAGGCCACTATGCTAGCTCACAACTGGCTCCCTTAAACACAATAACCTCACAACAAACACATCCCTCTCCCTTCTGTTTTCAAATGATGTAACAAGGATCAGCAGGTTAAATGACTTGTTTTCAGATTAAATGGTGAGTGGTAAACAGAATCAAACCTAAGTATCCTGATTCCAAGCCTTTATATACCTCAGCTACCTTCCATGATGAAAAAAGGAGTGGACTGTCGGCTTTCTTTAGGTTGGTGGTAGGACACTGGAGAAGGCCCAGAGAAGTCTTTCTTGCAGAAACTGATTACGGAGTCATCCAGTCACCTAATAGGGTCTTTTAGGGT